TCCTACTAGATTACTTTGCAACGTCGGAAGAGTGATGTCTTTCAAATGCTCCCACGATCCCAGCTGTTCCTCGGTTAAAGGTTCTACATAATCGATCGGAAACTTCTTAGTCGTATAAGCCTTGTTGATCTTCACGTAATCCTGTTCATCTAATGAAAATATCTCCAAATTTACTTCTTGACATCCACAAGTAGTAGTTCCATTCACAGTCGTCACTTTTATCGAAGTCTCCTTACCGTTGAGACCCAAATGATTAATTATCTCTTCACATACGAGAGAAGTATCCGAACCACTATCAAGAAGGGCGTAAGTCTTCTCACTTCCTGTCTCCTTTCTGTAACATTCATCTTCAATAACTTCGTACAATCTGTCTCTCTGTGATCAGCAAAGCAAACTTCGCAACTGAGAGCCGTAAATGAGTTGCTTGGTTTCAGCTTAACTACATTAAAACGTGATCTCTTATCAACTTTGCCTTCATAATTACCTTTACTAAACTTTCAGTTACAATGTATCAATCTACCAAAACGTGTCCGAGCAATCCTGGCTCTTTCTTCTACAAAGATCACAAATTCTTCGAAGATCGGCTCCCTACCGGTCATCATGATCTTATCGGCAACTTCCACCCACTTATTCTGTAATTCTAGGGGTAAACATGACATTCTTTCCAAATTAGCCGGAGAATTCATATCAGACATATACCCCATTTCCTTCAATGTTATGCATACATTACGTAGCTTAATTGCGAAGTCAGTTAAGCCATCGGCTGATCCTTCAACAGATTTGTGGTTAAGTAATTCAGTAATCATATCGCGAGCAACAAGGTGTTCCTTACCAAACAGGTCATACAAAATCTGTTTAGCTCTATCATAGCCCAAATGAATAGGCAATGAAATGCAGGCTTCAATAGCCATCCTGGCCTTTCCCTTACAATAGTATAACAAATACGACAACAATTGGCCCTTATCTGACACTTTACTCTCTATAAGTCTATTAAACTGACTAATGAAACGGTAATACTGACCCGGTTGCCCATCAAAGTACATCATATCGATCTTAGGTAAAACCATGTTACTAACCATTGTATGTAACGTGTCCTTCAGTTCCTCAACCCAATCGATATTTGAGATAAAGAGAGCACCAAAATACCAAACCAAGGACAAACCAAAATGTCCGAAACAATGATATAAACAAACAAGTTCAAAAGTTAAGTAAAACAATTACATCCAAAAACACAGTAAATTATTAATGTAAAATAAAAAGGTTTTAATCTGCCAAATGTTTTCAGTTCTCCCGTAACATAGCTCAAAATGCGTTTTTGAGTTACTCGTATTATATTATATCAAAACACAAACTCTGTGCTCAATATAAACGGTTCTAATTAAGAAAACAGAACAAATTATATCAAAAGTACAAGATACCTCAAACTATACAGCCTGTGCTATACAGTCAGAAGTTTCTCTAACGCAAAGTAGTGCACTAAACAATGAAGGAAATCGTTAATACTAAAGGGTTTGATACCTGATAATCAATAAGAATATGTAGAATTACGTTTACTATAACATTAGTGCTGCTCTAATAATAGACCTAATCCTAAATTTGTAAATTTGTCATGATATAACTGCCTAATCTATAAGATCTTACGTGGAAGTCACGCCATCGATAACGCCAACTCACTGTATCGTATCAATTACCAATACCTGATGAGGAACAAGGTTAGGATAGAGAAAGAACAATATATTTAATATGACTAGAAGATATAAGATAACATTCAGCAGGGACCACGCCTGCATGGCCGAGCCATGCCGTTCGGTCAACTCTAGTCCATTCAATTCATTGTTCACGCCTTCTTCATCGTTAGGTATTTCTCCGCGTTAAATATTGAATATCTATTTTCCGTGTAGTCTTGTGTTCTGATTTGAAGATTGTGTGGTTATGGTCTAATGCCACTACAAATATTCCCGAAAAGACGGGATCAGATATCTATACACAGGGATTCCGGCAATCCTCCCAAGCAGACAGTCAAAAGGTTAACAGTCGATTCTGAGTTGTACCCTGTATGGGATAGGAGAGCTAGATCAACTGCAAAGTCCAAATGTTCTAATCGATTCCAAGATTTTCATTATATTACATGTTTCGTCTCAGGTGTTGAGGTCTTCGTAGTCCAGTCAACCACTAGAAGAAACAGAAAAGTTGAGAGTAAGCAGCCTTGTCTGACTCCAGTCCTCACATGGAATCCAACTGTCGGTTGTCCTCCATGCATGATTATGCGGTGTCGAAAGAAATTTATAAAATATTTCTGTTCACACTGTCGAATGCTTTTTTCATAACCAAGGAAGTTGGTATAGGAAGATGATTTATATTCAATTGGTTGTCCAACGATGATTCACAGTGTCGCGATTTGGCTAGTGCACGACCGACCTTTACGAAATCCAACCTGTTGATCTCGAGGTTGGAGTCAACTGAATCTTCTTCTGGTTGAGCAACACTCTGATGAAAAATTTTCCTGGTACCGATAGTAGTGCGACGCCTTTGTACCTCTCACATCTACTCAGATCTTCATTCCATCGTATCTTTATGAGGTGTCCTTCTTTCCAGCATGTCTGTGGCAGTTGTTCTTCCTCCCAAACCTTTCTGAATAAAATCTACATCATACTCGCACTCACTCATTTGTATTTCTGACTTCATTGCTACGGCTAGTATATTGTCAGGGGCGTCTGCTTTCCCACTTTCGATTTGTTCGTTCTCCAGTCCTTCAATATCAGTGATCGGGTTGCCTTCTTCATATTTGAATGACCACATCGCTTTACAATATATACATTCTACTTTCTCTGTTGCATCATATAATTGTCTCATAGTTCCATCTCTTGCAGCATTTTCAGCTATCATAGCTAGTCCTCAAACGTATTTCAGATTTTCGGTTCCAAACCTCCTCTTCCTCATATTTTCGCTTATGTGTATTCGGTCTGTGCTTTGACCTTATCTGTTCTCGTTCGGTTATCGTTAACTGCTGTCTTCTTGTTTTTTCTTTCTTGGAACCTGTTGTTGAGAGCTATCCCGAATTCGTTGAGTTCGCATGTATCTAGAAGGAAGGCTGTAGTGAATCTATCCTATAAAAGTTCCACAGACATTCAAGGTCTGAAAGTGCCTATGTTATCTTTATAATCGAAGGTTATTAACTCAGTCAAATCAGAAGCATGTGATATTTGGTATATTTGGGAATATATCTGGAGAGTTGTCGAAAAGTTGAGAGTCTTTTGATCTAAGCCAGATAGAATTTTCAAGGAGTAAGTAACATGGTATACCCACTCGTGATCTGGTGTGGATAACTGACCGGGTTCTTCAACTAGGTTGCGTCCTGTAGAATTAATGAAGTCAGCAACAATGTCAAAGACTTACAGGACTATTTATTTTGAAGATTTATTTGCTATTACACTCCTAACAATTGAGCTGCTGAACGGTTTATGACTACGAGAACAAACTCTGCCTCTATAACCCTTCATGTTCCTGGGTCCGCTTCAATTCATTTCTGGTTATCGTTAAAGTTAGTTTCCCCCCCCAAATATCGTTCCTCCTGCATTCATGATTGTGGCGGTGGATGACTCACCAAAATCAATAGCTCTTGAAGTCCTCGATATTAAATATGCTACCGATATATCGGCAAGTGCTCAATCTAAGCTGGTTTTTGGTTGTAGATGTGAAGCAGTGTACTTTGAAGGTTCTTGATACTACGTTCACTAAGCTCTATTGAGTGAAACTCTATTCACTTCATGTAGTAGTTAAGTGTATCAGCCGTGATATTTTTCTCTGCATTCATGAGCCTCCATCAAATTTTCTACTTTTATACTGGTGGTCGGTGTTTCACTATAGATATAAAGAATTCTTTCCAGAGGTATGGTAGCATATTATATCCGAACTTCCAGTTTATCATAAGTAGTTTTTTATACGGCGTACAGAGCCATCATCCTGTACGGATGTTTGGCCGATCGCCTTTGGTTAATGGCATGTTGAATGAAACTAACATCAATAATATAAATGAGGGACGTTTACATAGCTACTCATATCGAGGATTTATTAAACATTGCTTGTCTTACTTATTCATTACCCCTAGCAGCGATCATCTCTAAGGCCATCATAATAATTGTGACTTAATAGACTCGGATTATGTTCCTTCTTTTTCCACAATTTTAGTTATCTGGTACAAAAATAAGCTCAAAAACCAAGGGTTTTATCTAAACATATTATTTATCATTAAACCGCATTGATGATCAATTAGAATATGATGAAGGTGAAGGAAACGTATTCGTGCTGCCTTTTGGTTTTTGTCTTAATGATTTGTTGAAATTAAGCAATACAAAATACATATTCAAGCGCCATTCCAATTGTCGGGGTACGTAGTAGTAGTATTAAAGGTCTGTTGGTAGTCGTTCTTTATTTTTACAGTCTAACTGATATTCCTCGTTCCGAAGAATTACCTAACACATCTACTGACCTGTTATTATATTGGGATAGATAGGGTCAAGTGAAATCATTGAGCATTTTCTTTAGAAGTAGGCGAAATTAAATTTGTGATGCAATAAGACTGCTCGAGCAATGTTACTTTAGCATAATTTAAAGGGTTACTGGGGATGCTTCACCAACACTTGTTTTAAAAGACAACTGGTGTGGCTTATCTAAAAATGTATAAATTCCTATACTGTATATCGCTGTTTTTACACATAAGCATCCTCCATAGACGCCAATTATAATCAGAAACCATAGACGATATAAACTTTGATTGCAAACGAAGTATACAGTTTCATCTCGAGGCATTTTCAGCCTTGGTCAGGTGTATTCTCTTGGCGACCGCTAAAGTTTATAAACCTCAATCTTCTATATTGTAGATTGTCGATTGCTGTCTCAGGGATTATTACAATTACTGATCAAATACTGGACAAGAACAACTAGGTGAATTTCACCAAACTCATTCCCCACCATCTGGAGCAGAGGCAAATACCCCATAAATGTCCAAGAGAGGGCAAACTGTTTTCTCTGGTGATGGAGGTGCTGCGAGCGGCGAGGAGTCAGCAGGGGAAATGATCTGGCCGCCACCGTCTTTTGATAAAGCCCAGAAAGGTCCATTAGTGCCACATGGAAAAAAGAAACGCTACCACTCAGCCTCGTTCAGCCACTCGGGTACAAACGGTCTTACAATCGATGGAATTCCTTCTGACTTGCATAAATTAACGGCTGCACTTCACAAAGTCCAGCTCTCTGGTAGTCGTTTGCCTTATGGCAAAAATAGCAAAAAGTCACGAGATGGACGTAAATTACCTAGCAAGCGTAAGTTTGTATGAAAATTTTCGCAGTTGCTGTAGGTGGTGGAAAGCATGACGATCCTACTGACGTTTTGGATGAGATCGAGTTGGATCCTGAGGACCCTGATTTTGATTCTGATGTGGACGTAAGTATCCTATCCTTACAGCATATAATGGTTTAGGCACCTGTTACGTTTGATGAGTTTCAGCCAACTCTGGCTGATGATATATTTGAAAAGACTTTCATTTCATTGATGAACGAATTTTTCATACACGGCAAAACTCAGGAGGTTATTGTAAGTCATCCCTTTGTTGTTCTATAGTTATTATTCACAGTAAATCTACCTTCTGATTATACTTACTCAACCTTTTTTTGTTCATTTCTAAGTGTTTTCAGCTAACTTAGGTTTCACTCAGTAAGTTAGGGAAGCAGCATCACCATTGTCAATTTAAAATTTGTTGGTTCAACCTTAAGAGCGGTTGTGTCGTATGTGCGACCTAATATTTATCTGTTAAGCCTTTGTAAACAACTCATTCGTCCGCTTGGTATTTTTTAGTGTTACAATGTGTAGATCCGTACCATTCGAAAAGAAACCAGAGTTCTACAGTTAATAAGTCGTTTTTTGGATTATCAGGAATTGGGACAAACCAGAGCTTCAGGAATGCGACAGAAAAAAGAGGTAATATTCCATAGAAGTAAAAAAGGAAAGAGTAGTGTAATTGAAAGGAGTAGTGTTTACTAAGATGTAACTCAGTGGAAGGTAGTCACAAAATAACTTTCAGTTAACAAAACCCATCTCACTTATAAAAAGCATCATGAACGGTCATGGAAGGATTTCCACTGGTTTCTGTCGTAATAAGTCCGAAAGCCGTAACCAGTTACTATTTTCGTGACCTTAGTGTGGAGAAATATTTTCTTCGATTTGTTTGTCTTCCAGTAAATTTGGTTAAGATAGCCTTTACATCGAACTTATTCGGTGTCCTTTCAGGATGTTCTTTCGGATATGAGTCTTGCGGGACATCACCGTCGTCGACTTCCATATTTGGCAATTACTCTTGCCATTCAACATCGACAAACACAATGCGAGCTAACATCAGAACTGCTGTCAGACATGTGTGGCAAAGTCCTCAATCATGCTCACATTCAACAAGGATTCCAACTTGTTTTCAGTGAAATTGGTGATCTCATCATTGATGTCCCCAAAGTGCCTGAGGTATGTTTGTGAACATATTTCTTTATGGTAAAGTTTCTGTTATTAACAGACCATATATTTTACCCTACAGCAAAATTTATACTAAACTTTAACATAAGCTCTTTTCACACAAATACTTTTTAAAAGTTCCCCTTAAAGTGCATATTGTTTTTAAATTCTCTTCATCATAGTTATGTGATGATTAGAAGTATTACTGAATATTTCCAAGGTCCTACTTTGCCTCTCATACAAAACGAGTCTAAAATATCTTTGTCAACTTGATCCTAAACTACCAGGTATCATTGTCACCAATATAAATTTTGGAGTAAAGCAATTACTGCATCTTCATTATAGGAAAACCTTACAGAACAATTAGATTATGTAACTAATTGACAAACACCTCATTTATTTACTCAAGGTTTTGGTGCCCGGGCAGTATCTCAGTCCTTACGCAAATCAATGGTTACTGCTACTGGCCTCATTCTTATTGTGTGACACATGTATTTGGTGCCCCCTTATACCACTGTTTGTGTCCAAATAAACGAACAAGGTATATGGCAAGTGTTCAGAACATAGAGGAGTATTTGGAATGTGTTAGCTGCCACCTCTCTTTTTTATATGACATTCAGTGATATGTAACGTACACTAACCTCGAAAACAGTCGTTCGACGCTTAGTCAAACAATAAGCTCGTGTATGTACCCGTATATCCTATTTGTATCTTTATTTTTTGCCATTATAAAATTAAAGATGTATCATTTGAAACCAATACACGATTGTCTCGCATTTTTCGATAGATCTGGAAGCTAAGAGTATGGATTGCAATTGTTTAAACAGACTGGAAAAGGCAACAGTTTATTACCATTACGGTGAAGTAAAACATAACTGTTAAGCGTTTTGATTAAACTTGGTTCATATTTTCATTTTCAGCCAAACATTTAAAATATGACATGTTTTCATCTTTTCTGTCTTAGTATATTGGGCGTTTTATAGCAAGAGCAGTTACAGATGATATCCTCCCTCCCAAATTTATTGAGCTGCAGAGAAATATTCTATCTCAGGTTTCACCTAGTAGCAGCCCTCTCCAGACTGAGACAGGCGAATCGGAAAACGCTATCACGGTCTCTACTACATCAAATGATTCCAACTCACAAAATACAATTCGAGTTGGTACTCGCAACTTTAGTGACAGCAGTTCTGGTGGCTCAGTATCTGTGGACACCTCTGCTAGCAGTGGTATTGGCTCTGCATCAAGCTTGATAACCGTCAATATGTCCCGTCCAGACCTAGCTCTTCAGGCTCTGAACAGAGCTGAAAGTATTCTAACTCTAAGACATGCCTATGCTAGATTGGATAACATTTGGGGTGTACCCGCTGGCCCAAAAGCTACAAAAATGCTAGTGAAAAAAATCAAAAGATTAGTCAAGTCATTCATTGAATCAAATGATATTGACGAAGCTACTGCAGCACTGTTAGAACTAGATGCTCCTCATTTTCGACATGAACTTGTTTTCCAGGTGAGTTTAGCAGAATATACTTAATTCTTTGACAGTTCTTGTAACGAAATTTTGCTGGTCCTGATCAATATATTTAAGTAAACTTCATGATTATATCTTATATTTTTACGGAGAGTTTTTAATTTTCCATTTACCATACAAAGTATAACTTTGAAAATAGTTAGTGTGCATTTTAAGACTGGTGGAATACTAATTGATATCTCCGACTTAACATTCGTATCTCCATATGAGGTAACGTTTTATAGTATACTAAATAACTTGTCATCTGATGGCAAATGAGTCACATCAACTATCGTGAAAAAAAGTCAGAATTCAAAAGGTTTTTCAATATCATATGTGTTATGGTTTTGACTGCAAAGGTTACAAACACAGAGTATATATATCCAAGTTACATCATACAATTTCACGCTTGATTGTTAATTAAAGTGATGGTGTCGTTTAGTTAACAAAAACAACTTGGAGGTCATATTACCTTTTTCTGTGACTTTATATCACCCCTGCAATTTGATATTAGGTGTATGTAATGGTAAATAGTGACCCGTTAAATTCGATACCTAAACGATTGTTAACTGGTTTTCTTCAGATTTTTACTTGGTCTGTAAGTTGGGCGGCTATTCCATTCCACAGACGTTTACACTGGTTTACAAATTTTTGAGTGGATTTGGGTTTTAGATAGTTGAAATTTAACAGTTCAAACAAATGATTAATATGACTAGTTCTGCACTATCCTTATATTATTTGCCAGTGCTCATCTTGAATTTTTGACTGATTTGAAACTATCTTTCAACCCTTTAGGGTGCGACCTTAACCCTCATGTCATCAGTGTTTGATAACCAAGTGTAACAAACACTAGGGCTAGTAGTCTAATGCGTGCAATTATGAAGTCTAGTTCACCTAACTATTCTTAAGAGGAGCAGTTTGTAGTTTTTTCGGGCAGGTACTAGCTTTTATGGAACTAAAACGTGTGAATGTAGTAATGTCTCACTGTAATATTTGAAGCTTATTTAATCACTTATTATCAAAATCCCCTTCCAAATCTTTTTTAGTCAATTATAATGGCTATAGAAATAAGCACAGAGGATGCACGTGAACGTGTTATTCGTTTACTGAAGGAATTATGTGCTTCAGTTGTTTTGACAATAGACCAGTTAACTCTGGGTGTCAAACGTGTTTATGCTGAATTACCAGACCTACAAATAGATGTACCTGCTGCGTACACGTTAATGGAATTATTTATGAACGGAGCCATTAAAGCTGGTTTCATACCAAGAAAGTTAGCTAACGAATTTACTACCAAGTAAGTTCATACAGTAATTTGTCTGCATTTCAAATCATTACGTTTCTCCTGTGCTATAAATCGACACATATTATAACCAGTTATCGGATTTAAAATTAAGGTTCTTACATTAGATCGCCATATATATTGTTTAAACGACTTATTTTTCCATGAAAGTGCAAAACTTATGGGAACTGTTGGCCAGTTCGTCTCCAATAAATATCAGGATATAGATAGATTGACCACTAATTGTTCACTCAACATGGCTTGTCAAGACCTAGCTACTGGAGTGGAGGCTCGAAGTATTATAATTTTAAGCCATGTCTGGTATATTTGATAATATTTGAGATGTATTTACTAGCCCAGAGCATATATGTATATGTAGCCCAAAATAATTATGATTAGAAATTGACAAATCAGCCAGTTGGAGATTTCAATCACCACACAAATGTTGCTTCATACTATCACTCAATGGCTTAGAAAATGTCACTTAAAGACGGTACCATTTAGTGTTCGTCTTTCAAGAGGAAATTCATGGTGTACAACACCATCGGGGTGTATTCATTATAAATTTTGTGTATACGTCGCAACCCATCAGTCTTTCAAATATCTTTTACTCTGATGTATCATTTTCTTTCAGACCTCGTAAACGTTTCATCTCAGAGACTGATTCAATCTATAGAACTAATAGTTCGAAACCCTGGTGAAGGATTAATTCAAGAGGCCATGAATAAACGGGGCCCGGTGATCGCTCATATTGCTAAATCCTAAATTTAGCTTCACTGTCTGCAGCCGAATTTTTCATTAGTATTATTTCAAACATTTCGTTCTATCTATTTTTCATCAATGTTAGTATGTGTTAAGATATCTGTCAGTGGTGGTTTGTTTTTCCTATCAGGTTTTCGTTGAATATGCATTTTAGTTCATGTAAACACTGAATAAATCTATTTTTGGCTCATTTCTGGTGTGATGGCAACCGGTCTTACATATTTTTTTCTGCATAACGTGTCGCTTACGTTCTATTTGTTTCATTCTATTCTTTCATGTCATTTTTCCTAATGATGTTTCACATTTAAATCATGTCAACATTTCCTCTCTGTGCCTAAATATAAAATAATTGAAAAAATTTTGGTTTAATAATTTCACACATGCATATAAATTTTACTGTATACTAAGGTAATGTGTGATGAGAATCTAGTCAAAAGGAAAATTGTTCGCTTATATATGTTGTTTTAAGCGTTTTGTTATTTAGTATGAAATTGGAACACACTGATTTAGCAATGATGAGGTCAGGCTTAGAGTTTTCACCATAGGTGAAAAATTAACTGATCTAGTTGTATATCCTCATCAATGAAAGTGATTAAGATATGTATTACATATGCTTAGCCAATATCTACCTCAGCGGACGATATTTACCAGCTTATAAGTTGAATTCCATTATTCCGCCATATATATCTCTTTCTATCTTTTCGAACCGTATTACCAACGCTTAGTCTTTATCATGTTTGCTGCTACTAGGTGGTTTTTAAATACTTCGTTATTCATTTTGCTGACTTCATCTTTTCGTGTCGATACGGTATGGGGAGTTCATCCAACATATATGTTCCAGGTTTTACGTTGATTATGATTAACTGACTAATACCATCTGATTGTAGTTGTGCCTGTATAATAGGATTACCAAGATTTTTCACTTTCACTAGTTACTAATCAAATTAAATAAGACAGATTAGTCCGGCGAATTCATTTTCAAAGCTGTACAATCGCAAATATATATACTTATTTTTACAGGATGATAATAAATTTGTTATACATGGTGACAGTGAGGTTAAATAAACAAAGGTATTAAAAAATTTAAAAAAATTTAAAACAAGGAAAGTTTAATATTCGTTTGATTGTTATTGGCTTAAGTATTCATCAAAAGATAGATAGGGAAATTATCATTGGGAAAGGATGGCTCAGCATGATAAAATAAAATGTTGAAACAGAGATGAAATGTAATCGGAATGATCGTGGGTGTATTCCGTTTACTAATCAAAGTGTATCGAAATATTCTTACTCTTTTTATCAATATGTAGCACCTGAAAACGTACAATGATTTAAGGTAGTTTCCTACCTATTAAATGTTGTAAAATAACTGGTAAATTCAGTTGTAAACAGTGCCGTAAGTAGCCGTTAAATCTATTTAAAAAAACCTAATACTCATCTTTTGGTAGAATGAGTACATATTTATGGTTATTAGTTGTCGACCATATCGGTAAACCTTTCTAGCCACTGATTCTTGCTATCTTTACAGGTCATTCAGAAAACTACTTACTAGCTTCAACCAGCTATGTTATTATTCATGTACCCTTAGTCGTATAGATGGGATTCTGACCCTAATCGTTACTTATAAAGTATATCGGTATTCTGGTAAAATGGAATTAAGGGAAACGTTTTAGATCCTTCTTGCCTTAACCTCACTATGGGTTAGAAGGTATCATTATGTTATTATTTTATTTAATTACATAAAACGTACGAAGGGGGCACGAAAGTATATATGGGCCATATAAATCAGTGAGTTGGGGTACTGCTAGTGTGTCCAAACCAAGCACATAGTCTTCTTAGAAGCCCACTCCACGAGCCTTTGGTCTAAAGGTATGGTCCACAGGGCGGTGGAGCGACGTTAGGAGATGCAGTCCTGTGTTGGCAAGTGACTCAGTATAGGCTCATACGCAACTTGTTGCTTTAGAATCCTAGAGCCCACATGACCATTGATTTGGGGTCTTTTGTTTTATTTATTTGAACACATAAATACTGGCACAAGGGGGCATCAGTTACATATGTGCCACACAAATCTCATTTGATATGTGTGAGGGCTGTGATACTGCCCAGGTGCCCCAACCGAGGCAGGTGATTTTCCTAGTGGGCCACACCCGGAGCCTTCGAACTGAAGGTCTGATCCGCAAGGCAGTGAAGTATCGTGAGGAGATGCAGTCCCATGGTAGCCGGTGACCAACGATTGGTTCATACGCCATTTGTCCCTTCAGGATACTGGAGCCCATGTGCACCAGTAGTTTGGAATCAGGGTTTCCCAACTCCCTTAGGTGGACTCTCCATGTCCATCAACCCGGTTAAAGCGCCGGACATTCGCTTTTCGTCCTCTCAATCTCAGGGTTTCCCAACTTTCCTAGGCGGATTCTGTATGTCCATCAATCCAGTTAGCATGCCAAACAATTGATTTTCGTCTTCTGGATTTCGTAAACAACATTCCTGTGAGAAGGCAGTCATTGACATTTCATAACAAATTTCACAGGCTTGGCATTGAGACGGAAATCATTGGTGACATTTATATAGTAAAAGGTTAGTCATTTATAAATATTTCGAAAAGAAGTGAAGTACTACAATTTTTCCACAATTAATTGATTGATTGCTGTCCATCGTTGCATTGGAGGCAGCAGCCATTCAGATGTCTTACCAACCGAACAAGCTATTGATCGATTGTGAAGGGACTCTCATAACCTACTTCCTTTTGAAGTATGCGATGATTTTGTATAGAGACATTCGGGACTTAATGATTAAACCATCAAGCTCAATAAATAGTGTACCTCCAGAATCCTACTCAGTTACAAATCCCCCATCATCTCATGTTTGGTGCTACAATCAGTGGACAGTGACTTTATACTTCAGAATTTCACCACGATACAAAGTTAGTTTGCAAAGTGTCTTTAATTTAGAGGTTTAAATGGGAAATAGCTTGTGTTTCCTGAACACGCAAACATTCAATCTCAAGTTACTATAAGTTTACTCATGTAGTTGCTAATAGCAAGAAAATCCTCATCATAATCTGATATCAGCTACAGACTCAGAGAGCACTGAATATATATTTTGGCTCCAGTTGAAGAATTTTCAAAAGTGACAAGCATAACAATGTCTTAGTTGTTGTGAACACGTTACTTTTGGATCACTGAGTTGCAGTACAGTGCTTCATGTTTCCAACTGCAGTCAATCTTCAACATAACACTGCTGTTGTTCACCTTCGTCGTTGATGACTGTTCCACTGATGACGAGGTTGAATTCCACCTGTTACAATTTCTCAAGTTAGTACACAGTAGCAAAAAAATTTTTCGTAATAATTCAGTGTTATCCCTTCAAATAAGTGAGTTTCCATTTAAGTTAGTTTCTGTAACCTAATACCCTTTTACTAAAGTGGATTATGCGTATTCCATGTAGCTTATTTAGGTTATATTACCCTTCCTCTCCATTCTATTTACTCCTTACAAAATATTCCAAACTTCTAATATGTCAACAAAGAGTTGGCTAAAATGTGTTAGAAATGTACTAAGCATTAATTTTGTATTTTCACCTTCTTGAAATGTTCATTCGAGATATTATTTTTTTTTATTACTTCCTTTGTAATGTGAACAAATAGGGAAAAAAGAAACATAAATTTAATATTTTATAAAGTCGTTTTCTCCTCTGAAAATAATTTTCGTCCTTACTTTATGGTTCAGGGAAACATCGACCTATTTTGTTTAATTAAGAAATTATTTCAGCCTCTTTTTTTGTAAAATTTGTTGGTGGTTTTTTTTTACCATTTAAAAAACGATATTTGTACTTATTTTTGTCATGTAACAACACATCACGTGAATAAATGAAACCTTTACGTATATCAGTTGAACTCTTGTTATGAATAGCAAGCTTCAAGGTCACAGAATAAATAAATAACAGCTATTACAATAAAGGTCACGTGATGTTTCTTACTACAATCTCATTGGTTAATTCTTGTAAAGTTTAGTTACTTCCAGTTTTATTATTATTGATATTTGTGAATGACTAGAGATATTTAAATGTTGATATTTTCAAATTATACATGAGTTTTTTCACCAGGTCAAATAAACAGTGATAGTCAAGGTTAATTAATTCATACATCAATTCTTTTTAACCTAATTTATTATGTATGGCTTTACATCGTAGACAATTTTTATTAAGATGAAGTCAGGCATTGTTGAATATCTATTACCTGGAAAGTGAAATCTTATCTATTTTAATGATTTTGGGGAGTTTTGATATACTCGGCAATCCAGTTGGATAAGAGATAAGTAACATAGAACGAATATTTGATCAAATTATATTGTAAATTTAAAAGACTTTATTTCGGCTTAATAGAATGAAACTAAGGCAATTTTGACATGCCAATGGAATTCCTAAATCTCATTCCAAATTAAAGGTATTTTATACATCATTTGTAGACACCTCAAAATTCTAGTTTTTAATGTAAAATATTCCCGAATTCCCTCAAAATTAGTGCTAAGAGAAAACTATGATTCTTGCCGTTACGAATGAAGGTGAATCCCTTTAAGGGTTCATTATGATTTCAGTAGATTAAATATCTGTGAAAAAGAATGTCATAGATCAGTCAATGAATTATGAAGCTTCTAACATGAGTCTCAATGTGGCGCATAAGTTTTTAAGCAAACTCTTCAACTATTTTGTGTTCAAAGTATAGTTATAAGAATATTTTCAACATGATGTACAATTTAGAAATGATATGCTGTAATGAATTCGAACTCGCTTCAAATCACAACATCAGACCTCTTGACCGAAACATTCCAATGGTCCGCATATATGACTGCAAACTTTTCCTGACTTTGACATTATTTCAACAGTTTTGCCCCTGAACACAACTTATCTTTCGGGACAAAGATTGATGGAATTGAGGGACTTATGG